AAGAATGGGAATCCCAGGACATTTGATTGTGCTTAAGTAAAACCTATACTTGGACCAGGAGGCAATCATCAGTACAGAGCAAGGAGGTACTACTCCAGGGATGTATATTCTGTCTCCATGCCTTTTCTATCTATATGAGGAACAGATAATCCGGGAGAGGGGGGGCTATATGAAGAGGAATGTAGCATCAGGATTGGAGGAAGATTCATCAATAATCTGCATTATGCAGATGACACAACCCTGCTTGCTGAAAGTGAGGAGAACCTGAAGCGCCTGCTTCAGAAGATAAAAGACTGCAGTCTTCAATATGGATTGAAGCTCAATATCAGCAAGACAAAGATTCTCACCACTCGACCAATTCGTTATATCATTACGGATGGTGAAGAGATTGAGATTGTTAACAGCTTCAGTTTGCTAGATTCCACAATCAACATGCTTGGTACTAGCAACCTGGAAATCAAGAGATGAATTGTATTTGGAAAGTCTGCTCTCAGGGACCACTTCAGAGTACTGAAGAGCAACAATGTCAGTCTGTAGACTAAGGTGCTCCTAATCCAGGCCATAGTCTTCACAATTGCTTGCTATGCATCAGAGAGCTACACAGTGACTAGGGATGATAGAAAAAGAATTGATGTCTTTCCACTGTGGTGCTGGAGAAGATTATTGAGCATACCATGGACTGCCAGGAGAACAAATAGGTTTGTCCTCCAGAGGGTGAAGCCAGGCTGCCCCTTGGAGGCAAGCATTCTGAAACTTCATCTGACATACTTTGGGTATGTTGCAAGGAGGAACTGGTCCTTGGAGAGGAACATCATGCTTGGAAGAAGGGATGGAGAAAGATAGATAAACTATCAATGAGAAGAACTGATATGAGGGGAGGTGTGTCAGGACAGTAAATTTGGCATAGGATAGAGCAAATTTCAGAGCTGATGTATGTAGGGTCACTATGAGTTTCAAGTGACTTGATGGCACATAAGAAAAACAACCCATAGAGTAATTACTCTTTTCTCGGTTCCTCTTTGTGATTCTGATAGGAAAGAGAGGTAATAAAAATTGGTAAATAGCTAATAGGAACATAGAAAGATAGGTCATGGGAGAAGCAATAATTAACACAATATCACCAAAGAAAAGTGGATAATAAGCACAACATCACTAAAGAAAAGTTAGATATTGAGAACTATAGAGAGCTTAATGGAGGGCAGAATCAATACTTTCAGTGTGATGTGGTTTGAAAACTAGTAACTTGATATATTTGAAGTTCATTATGGCTGACAGGAGCCTCACACCCAAAAGTGCACATAGTAGCTGCACAGCATGACAACAACACTAGTTATCCACTGAAGAATTAGAGTGGGCTTAAGTTATCTCCTGGCACTAGATCTATAGTAAATGTGAAGGCACCCACAGGTATCTCTGCATAGCATGCCTCTGTGCAGTTGCAGTGCACCTACAACTGCACTCATTTAACAACAAATCAATGACCAGAGAAACAGACATTCAACGGTACTATATGACAGAGGGTGGCCTAGTGGAAAGGAGTTGTGCTACTAATATGTAGGTACACAGCTTGAACACACCAGCTGTTCCACTGGAGAGGATAGGTAATCTCCTTTGTGATTTACTGCATCTGAAAACCTGCTGAAGGGTCAGCTATGGGTGAGTTCTAACTTCATGGTGTGTAACAACAACAATCTCCACCATAGGATAGAATGTTGAAATAGGTTGGGAATCTCTCATTATGAGTGATTCTACAGTAAATGTAATTAATAGTTATTATTTCTTAGTATATTTTTTAAAGTCCATAATATATAGGTTGGAAGGGTTGAGTTTGTGGCTAGCCTGGAAGCTCCTGAGCAGTGATTCCACTCTGGAAGCTGGTTTCTTACATCTTGATGGGGATCATGTAAGGAAAGTTTAGGGTTGTGTTTGATTTGTGATATCATTTTTTTGCAGCCCTAAGGGTAAAATTATTAATTTTAGAATGAACATTTTTTAAGTGGTACTACAGTTTATTTGCTGTATAGCTGTGATGCTGAACACTGTGCCATAGCCATTTCAAATACCATAATGGTTGCTCATCATGGACAGTGTTTGGAGGAGATTCAAGATTGTTCAAGGTTTGGAAGCAGGGGTGGCACCTACTTCCAAAAATTTATGTCTCTGGAAAGTCTATTAACCCTGAAATCATACAGAAATGATGTTAGAGAACAGAGTTCAGGTTTTTTGCTCATAGGGTTGCTTTGAGTCATACTATTGGCGACACTTAATCACTGCTAAGTGAGACTAGTGTTATATTTGGAGGAACATTCTTCTACTTTGTAAGTCACTCTTAATTAATTTGCTTTACTGAGGTTATCTGGGTTTACTGTGACGCTGAACCTTGTACCACAAATACCATAATGGTCTCCTAATACGGACAGCGTTTGGTGGAGTTCCCAGTTGTAAAACAAGTTTGGAAGCAGGAGTGACATCCACTTCCTAAACCACATGCCTGTGGACACTCTATGAACTTGGAGAAATGACAATAGTTACAGAAAGGCATTAGGTCTTTTGTTCATAGCCACTATGAGTCATACTTGACTCGCAGCAATCAGCAATAACAATATATAGATCAAATATGTCATCTCTCTTTTTTGTTTTCTTAATTAATTTTAATAAACGTTTACAGAGACTTTGGATTTCAATCCATTCATTGTTGCACTTTTCTCCCTGCCCAACTCCCCACCTCCAAGTTTGCTCTTCTCTGAAAAGTAAAAAAAAAAATCTTTCGTTGTACAATCCCTCCCCCAAGGCCACTCCACTATGTAGCCTTCATTCTGGATTCCTGAAATGACAATAATACCTAATCATATATCCCTTTTAAAGAGTTCTCTCCCTCACCTGTTTCAATGAAGTATATATGTCATCTCTTTAATGCATATTTATACTCTAAGAATTGTTTGTAGTGGTTAAGAGAGAAGGGATCTGAGTTAGACTAATTGGATTCAAACTGATCCTATATTGAATGGTTTGGTGCCAGTTCCTTTTTGTCTCATTTTTCTGATCTGCAAAATGAAGACAACGATACTGTTTATTCTGAAATGGGCCCTTTGTGATTTAAATTATAGAAATGCATCAGTGGCCCCATCAAGGAATCAGGCATGTGAATATTCCATAAGTTTCAACCACTGTTACTATTACTATTTTTATTTTCTTGTCATTATTTTAACTCAGTGACCCATGATCTATGCTTCCTATATTAATTAATTAAAATTCATGCTTTAAAATATTACTTTGCTGTTATAGTGTCATAATAATTAGTTGAGTATAGTGTTTCAAATCTAAAATCTAAGCTTTCCAATAGGAATAACAAAAAACCCTAACTATAACACACACACACACACACACACACACACACACACACACACACACATATACACTGCATACAAGATGCAATACAGTTGTCAAATGATCAATGTTCAGAAAAAATATCTCTAGACCTCATGGAGATCATAAAAGTTATTAAATATTTTAATTAAATTGTGTGATTCTATACTATAATGGGAGTCCTGATAACCTATTGAATAAAGAGTTGTGATGCAAACCCAGTAGCAGGCAGCTCAAATCTACCAGCTGCTCTGTGGGAGAAAGGTGAGCAATTTCTCATGCAGATTTAAGTCTCTGAAAATCCACTGGAAGAGGGTCAGCTAGAAGTTCTAACTTGAAAACACATAACAATGAAACAAATGATGTAATATTTACCCATTTTTCATTAATTAGAAAAAGAAGAATGTTAATGTGTTCTTTCTGGATCACAGATTAATTCTGAATGCTGTTATGTGTGATCAAGTCAACTGAGACCCTAGTGAGCAGTGAACTCACTCTAGTCTGTGCCATGTTCATCATTTCTGACAAACGTAAGCTTATCGTTACACTCACCTTGTCAATCCATCTTGGTGTAAGTATTTCTCTCCTATGCTGATCCTATACATTGGCACACGTTATGTTCTTGTGAGGTGAAGTTTCCCTATTCTTACCTCTTCTGAGGACTCTTGTTTCAATTTTTCCAACACAGACCTATTTGTTCTCCTGGAAGTCCATAGAATATCCATGAGATATTTCCAGGGGAAAAAAAAAAACTATGGAAAAGTATTTAATCGAGAATAAAGAGTGATATCAAATATCTTATGTATCTTTGAATTAATGACTTTCCCCTTCTCCATTGTCAACAGATTAGACTCCGGGCTTTATTGAGAAAATAAGCTTTTCCCAAATATCCTTTTAGTTTACCAAAGCTGATTTTAAATAGGATATGTTTTTCATTGTTTAGAATTTTAGTGTTGGCAAAAAGTACTATCTCATGGATTGCTAAAAAACCAAACAGATATGTCTTGGGAAAAAATGCAGCCCAAATGTCCTTAGAGGCAAAAGTAGAGAAGCTTTGTTTCCCATATTTTGGGCATGATGCTAGGACACGCCATTCCTTGGAGAAGGACATCATGCTTGAAAACATCAGTGAAAGAAAGACTCTCAATAACATGGATTGACACAGTAACTAAAACAATGGGTTCAAGTATGTCAGAGATGATGATGATGGCACAGGATGGGAAAAGGTTCAGATCTGCTGTTCAGAGGGTGACTAAGAACATACTCAATTCAATGGCACCTAACAATAACATTTTTTTTTTGCTTTCAAGTTGATGTAAAAAAGTTTTATTATGTAAACACCCTGAGAGCATATTTTCCCTTTCATAGGCATGAAAATGGACATTTGAGCCTTTTAACTAAACAATCACATCAAGGAAATCATATATGAAATTACTATTTCAAGATAAAATGTGATTATATATGCAAGATTGATGTAATAACAATATTTAAAAAATATCATCATTCAACTATAGTTTCTTGACTCACTGATGTGATAATGATGCTGTTACTTTACATTTCATATATCTTTACGTTTTGATTAGTTAATTTGTTTTAATTGTGTATTTTATAGATAAGTTTAGAATAACACATACCAAGGGCAACTCTAGCAGCAGATGCATCATAATTGATCCAGAAGGACACCCAGGATAAAATTGTAATTAGTATAGAAGGCATGTAAGTCTGAAGGATGAAGTATCCAATGTTTCTCTTCAACCGAAAACTTAGTGAAAGTCGAGGATAGGCACCTGAAGCAGAGAAACAAAGATTATTAATTTCAGAAAGGCTATGGGCACTAAGTAGTATGTTGTGATATCTATGGTAAACAGTAAGCACTTGAGGCACTCAGATAAGTCCAGAAACATACAATTTCTATTATTTGCCCACTGGTATCTATAGGGGACATAGGATAAGGTCAGGAGGATACTCTACTAAGGCTAAACATCTCAAATTATCCCTGGGGAAAAATACTCCAGAGAAAAACTTCTGCAAAAGATTTTAGCTTAGAATAAAAAGCAACTTCAAATATCTTCCTTATCTTTGAATTGATAACTGTTCCCTTCCTCTCCATTGCCCTTATATTTGACTCATATCTTTATTGGAGAAATAGACTCCTTAAAAAAATTACTGTGATTTAACCTAAATTTACAAAAAACCAGGATTTCCATTCATTCATTGTTGTAAATTTTCCTCTTTACCTCCTCCCCACCCCCAGTTAACTTTTCTCTTTAAAAAAAATCATTTATTGCTGCACAATAAAATATACTTTTCCCAGCTATCCTTTCCATTTAAAGCAACTGTCTAACCACTCTCTGGCCAAAGCTTTTGGAGACATTGAAATTAGATTTGGTAGGTAGCTCAGAGGTGACCTGGAAATTAAAGAAATAGAGAAGCCGTTCTTATCCCAAACAAAACTTAGGGTTTTCTGAGAGATGCCATTTCTGATTCTGGTGGTGGGGAGTCTGGAAACACACCTGGTTAATTATTATGTGAAAACACTCACACTAATTTAGGATTGCTCTCCTACAAAGGTAGGACACAACCTGGAAAGAGGCCACCCCTCACTTGTCACAATCACACAAGTGTTTGGAATTTGATGTTAAACCACTTGTGGTGTGAAGACATTTTAAAATGGCTTTTTATATCCATCACCTAGCCCACTTTGGGGCTTGATCTCCAGCTGCCTCAACTATACACACATGCTTCATCCATTGATCAGTATCTTCTACATTATCAACAGATGTGGGGCCAACATAAGAGGGAGAGCTGGCTAGTCTGTGGAAAGTCTGTGGCAAGGCATAGCCTGATGGAGCACTGGAGTTGGAGGTTTTTCTGGGTGATTAAAGGAAGAGCTGAGGCTTACAGGATGATTGAAGAAACCAAAGTCTACTTGCATTTGTGTTGCTGGACTGAAACTGGACTTTACTGTGTGATATCCTTTTGCCTTCTCTTGACTCTTCCCAATATATTTTCTTAATACATCCCACAACTTTGGCAATGAATATTAGATTAGGCCCAGTGGTTAGTAAAAGTAGGTGCAACAGTGTGGAAGGCCATGCATTACCTAGGGATCAATTTTACATACTGGATGTTATTGATGGAGTCCTGGACTAGTCAGTTTTACAAAATCATTGCTCCTGTGTGCTGCTTAGTATTTCATCATGTGAAGGTGCCATAATTTCTCAATCCATTTAATTACAGTTGGATATTTGGATTATTTCCATGTTCTTGCAATGGTGAATGACACTGCTATGAACATTGGTGTACAAGTCTCTGTTTGTGTCTCAATTTTCATTCTCTTAGAATATATTCCCAGCAGTGGAATAGCTGAATCATATGGAATTTCTGTGTTCAGCTTTTTGAGGAAGTGTCAATCTGCTGCCCGAGTTCCCTCCAAGAAAGTATAAGAGTTCCTTAAGAAATATTTTCCTTTCAATTATTTTTTTTTAAAATCAGGAGCAAATATTTTTATTTCAAATCTAAGTGGCACCAACATATATATAGGGAAATATGTTCATTGTAGTAATTTTTGCAATCATACAAAATTGGAAACTACCTATATGCATGTCGGTGTGGTAATGGATAAATAGAATATAAAGCATATATAACAAGAGGTTCTTAAGTTTTAGTAACAAATTATATACAATAAAGTTACACTAATGTATACAATTATTGGGAGGAAATCCATAATTATTATTAAATAAAAAAGGTACAAAGCAATTTCCATTATGTAATCACATTTCTTTTATAATAAAATTGAGTATCTAAACAAATATTGTACAGGCATCCTTTAATGTGTTCATGCATATGTATACATAATATCACATCAGGATGCCCTGAAAGATGAGTTAAACTTATTTTTTTAATTTTTATTATTAATTTCAATGAACATTTACAGAGATTTTGGATTTCCATTCATTCATTGTTGCACCTTTCTACCCACCCACCCCTCCCCTCCAGTT